GTTATAAGGGAAAAAATACAATAAATATAACCAAGACTTTACCTTTATATAAAAGTGTTAATAGCTTTAAATAATATATATCTCGTAAAGTTTATTAAAGACCTTGAAAATACACTTTTGTTATAAATTATATTAATATTAAGACGCGAACCACATTTAATTTATATAAGTGGGGCGTCTAACCTGATTGGGTTTGGCGACTGCGGTCCGGTGTGTTTACATAATTCCCCGCCCGCAGCGGCCAGGCCCCCCCCCCCCCCCCCCCCCCCCAAACCCCCCCCACCCCCCCCGTTCGTCCAAGCCCGCCCAGCTGCGGGCGCTGTCTTGAAACGGCAGCATCACCGCTTGCCGCCCATAATCGTCGCATCAGGCGTCGGCTCGCACACTCCCACGGCCATGCATTGCTGATCTGTCAGAAGGAATCCATACATGTACCGGATGTGTTGGACCAGACAAGTTTTGGACCAGCCGAAGCCCGTCCTGCTGCAATGCACGTCCTGCTCGACCCCTGTTGAATGCCTGCCTGCCTGCGACAGTTTATTCCAGACTGTTGTCGAAGCTTGGCCTTGCCGTTGACAACCCATGGCCCGGCTTGGCTGTTCACGTTTGTGCGTTCCCGAGGCAGTAAAATGCTAATTGCTCACAGTCATCCTGGCTCTCGTCTTCGCAGCAAACAATCATCAGCCCCCAATGGGGACGGGGCACAGGGGCAAACCCGAGAGAGGCACGGTCTGGCTAGTCCTCCTCGTATGCACGGAAGTCAACCGAAGACGAGCGCGTTGGCTGGGGCCGCATAATTTCTGACGCAACGGTAGACGATGCGGAGTAGGATACCGAAAGTGCGAGAAAAAGGGGGCATCCGGCTAATGCCCGACTAGGAAGCGCACCACCGCGCCAGCTCATGGACCATCGTCTCTTGTTTCGGTGAGCTTGGGCTTTTTTTTTTTTTTTGGCACGCGGCGGGAAGTGAGATCTGCTGATCCAGCCCTGTGTCTAGTGTAACCTCGTCCTCCCAAAGCGGAAAGTGGTCACGATACCCCAATGTGCTCGTCCACTCTCACTCCTGAGTCCTTGCGGCGGATTGTCCTACCTGCTCGGTCCAGTCGAGTGACGCATAGCGACCAACAAAATCGAACAGTAGCCAAAGGCACAAGATCCTTGACCGATATCGCAGGGATACCGTTCCTTGAACAACTCATGGCACCATAAATCGCCCGAGAAGCGAAATGTTATTAATTAGTAGTAATAACAGAACTGCAGGGCAATTCCAGTGAGTGCTCCACCATTATCGCAGACTTTCCCGTCGACAAGGCTGCCTCAATCCATGTGCTAAAAAGGAAGTTTGAAATTCTAGAATGCCACTCTATTCGTCTACCATGTCTTGGTTATATACAAGGTGCCACGTCGCGCTACCCTGGAGGTCAGAAGCCTACAACCAACTTTCACCCCCAGGGCCATCTTCCGTCATTTACCATCGTGGCTAGCCAACTAGAAAGCTCTCTTCCGCCAGACATGCCGACCTGTCCAAGTCTGCCTACTCGTCTGGCGCTGCTCCAAAACACGGCTACATCCCATCGAATCTACAAGCCAAACCAAGAGCATCGACTCCCAGGCTCAGTCTCGAAGCGCTCCCCCTCGAGATGGTCCGTCACTCGAGCAATCTCGCCGCATATATACAAATGACTCACAGCCTTGGTCAGCAGCGTCCCGTAGGTTCGAAACGTGGCATCTGCGTCAAACCCGACGTCACGTTTTTTTGAGCCGGTGAAACCGAAACAGCAGCGAGCCGGTGACTTTGCGACACCACGTGCACTGACAGGTCCCAACTGCCTTTGTTTTCCAGAAACAGCGACGGCATCTGCGTTGACTTGCACAATCGTTCCAGTCGTGGTTGAGGGGGGTGCGCACAATGGCCCAAACAAAGTTTCCAACCCTGACTGACACCAAACACACGACTATAAAGCTTCAACTCTACTATTCAGGTGTGTGTGTGTGTACCTATATACAATCCATCTCTTCTACCACCCCAACGCGCTCTAAATCTCTTGCGTTGTGAAATTTACGCCACTATTTATACCCGTCTTCGTCCGCGGCATCCCTCCGTCACATTTTTCATCGAGGCTATTATCCTCTCGGAGCCCTTCTCAGCAGCCACCATGACGCCAAACTGCGGGTTCACAGTCAGGGGTGCGAGAATGGAAGCGTCCACGACATGGATGTTTTGCGTGCCAATGACCTTTGTGTCGACGTCCACGCACTTGCCAATACGGCAGGAACTCGACCAGTGCTGAACGGACCCGACGGCATAGGGACTATTCGGGTCCGTGATGTACCTCCAGATCTCCTGCAGAGTTGAATTCCGCGCCAGGTTGAGAGGGGTGAGCCCCTCTTTGGCCGGAGAGGTCGGCGTTGACGGCGGGAGGTGCTGAAACAGCGAGTGAATAAACTCGGCGACGGTATCGGCATCGCGCGGGTGCCCGTAGTACACCCCGGCGCTCGGCTTGGCGGCGAAATTTCCATCGTCGGCGAGCTCGACGTGGCCGGAAGAGAGGAGCCCGGACGTTCCGTAAATGTTGAGGGTGATGGTGTTGTTTCCCACAAAGTCCCGGTAACCCGAAGAGCTGACTGTGCCCTGGACCCCGGATCGCGTCCCGTTGTGCTCTATGTAGGTCCAGAAGACAGAGGTTTGCGACGCAAAGCTGTAGGGCCCGCTCCGTGACTCGAGATACAAGTCTCGGTCCGCGGGGGCCGGGTCGTCGTACTTGTAGACGTACGACTTGACGTCTGGGCTGGAGAGCACAATAAAGGTGTTGGGGTTGTCAAAGAGGCCTCTTCCCACGTCTGGCCGGACCATCCACGAGGACGCATTGTAGGGAGTGGCGGATTTTGCGGCCAGTTTCTCGAGAGCATCCCGCGGCCCGATGCCGGACAACATGAGAATCCTCGGCGACAGCATCGCACCGGCGCTCAGCACCACTCGACCCCTCTTTGTGAGCTGGATGGCCTTTTTCTCGCCGCTGTCGAGCGCAACCTCGACCGACGACGCCACGCCCCTGACGTGGTTGATGTGCTCGACCTGGACGCCCGTCTGTAAATGAAAGTGATTTCGGCGCAGTGCCGTCTGCAAATAGGTCCGGGTAGGTCCGCCTCGCTGCCCATCAATGTAGTTGTAGACGGGCCGGCCGAAGACGCGCTTCTTGTCGTTGACCTGCTCCAGCAACGAGACGTCTTGGTAGCCAGCGGCCTCGACTATCCACTTCTTGACGGCCTCGTAGCCACTTTGGAGGTAATACTTGTGATCCTGCGAGTAGCTCGTCAGAGCGGGCTGGCGCTTCAGGAGCCTCGCAGTCGCATTGGCCACGTCGGCGCTATGCCAACCCCCGGGATGGAAGTCGTCCCAATCCGACGCCGGAGGCTGGAAATACAGGCCGGCATTGATGGCGCTGTTGCCGCCGACGGTACATGCCTGAAAAGCATCTACCTGGCCAGGCCCGCACAACAGACTCGAGCCGCCAGCGAATATGGACGAGTCTGCTACATGTTAGGGCAAAAGAAAACACGGGCGGCCCTTTTGTCCCACGGTTTGCACTTACACAGTCCCGGAACGTCGACTCTGCTGAGGGTGGTGTTGTCCAACCAGCCGGGCCGCTCTCTGCCGCCTGTGATTCCGTACGATTGGCCTCCCTGTTGGAGCAGAAGGGTTTTGTAGCCCGCCTCGCTGAGTCTGTCTGCAACAATGATGCCCGCGGTGCCGGCCCCAACAACAATCACGTCCCAAGACTGAAGGGTCCAGTTGGCGACTGCCGAGGCACGTCCGAGGGTTGCTAGGAATAACGCTCCCAGCCAGAGAGACGCTAGCAAAGTCATTTTTTTTCTGGAGAATGATCTGGAGAATGATCTGGCTGCGATGGACTGTCAGCTTCAAGATGTGATCCCTTGGCTCGCTGCTTGGGAAATGTCTCTATCCATCGCGACGGTGACTGCACAAGTCTTTTATCTCGCCTTTGAGTGAATGGTCTCGTTTTGCTCGCTGTGGAGTCTGGACCCTTGGCGGACTCGTATCATCACCGTTATGCAGTGCTGAGTGGATCATGGTTTGCCAGCGGCGCCAACAAAAGGAGAAGTCTGGAGATGAGATTCCGATACGAGCTGATTGCGGGAACGAATCGAGACCATGACGTCACTTGCAGCCCTGGGTAGGGATTTGGATTGGCAAGGGTCCAAGCTGATCTGACAATGGTGCCGACTCCCCGTCGCGACGGGCAGAACGGTCAAACTGTCCAAACTGCAGAAGATGGATGCCAAAAACATGTCGCTATTGGAAGTGACGGTTCGGTCATGTCGGGAATTGCTTTCTTTTTACGGATCAATTGATACTCCGTACAATCCGTCAGGCGGAATCTCCCCCGGTTCGCAACCTTTGACTCAGCAGACGTCTGTCGACTCGGCATTTATCAACCTGGCACCTGTCAGCTTGACGCTCGTCAGCTCGGCATCTGTCTATTCGTCATCTATCGACCAATGCCCGTAGGCTTAGAATCTGCCAATCTGGTATCTGTCAGCTTACTTAAGTAGCATCTGTCGACTCGGCATCGGCTCACTTACAACCTGTCGACTCAGCATCTGCGAATCTGTTCTGCCAACCAAGCATCTGTCAGCTTAGCATCCGTCGACTCGTCATCTATCAACTCGGCGTGTCAACTCGGCACCGATTACCGCAGCTGTCGTGAAACCCTGGATATTATTGTACCAGACGCACAATTGAGACTCGGCAGCATGCTTCGCGGCCCATGGATGAATTGAAACACTACACATTGTGCTGATACAGCAAAGAGTCACACTACCTCAAGCGACAGTCCATCTTGGCGGGAGAATACATCACTCAGTTCCCGCAGGCCAGTCCTGTACTGATGACAATCTTGGGCATGTTTTACTGGCCTCTACGCGAACCAACATCATGGTGGCGACATCTCAGCGCCCCCAAAGCACATCATCGCATACTACCCTACCTTGTCAAGCGTGATTATGCCTTCATTTATATCCCGCCTCGGCAGCGAAATGATTATTTCCAAGGCAGCCACCCGCCCACCGACATCAAACTTGAAGTGTCCGCCCCCATAGCCGGGGCTGTCCTCGACGTCTGGATCCCATACATGAGCAATCCAATAGTCGTCAGAAACGTGCTCGAAGCGAATCTCTCCCAAGGACGCTCTGTCGGAGCGACGGGCTACCAAAATCGTCCGCATCCCAGAGCTCTCGTCAGTCTCGGCTTCTTCGGCGAGATACATCATGCCGTAGCCTGACTCCCAGTACCTTCCTAATAATTGGCTTTGGGATGCAGTGGCCGGCAGCGGAGTCGTTGGCCTTTCTGGATAGAGGACATCTCTTGGGTGCGTGAGAATATACTCGTCCCGCCGCCCATCCTCTCCTATCCTAGACGAGACGCCCGGTCAGCACATGTTATTTCAATCTTCACTCGACTTTTATTTTCGACGGGCGTGTTTTGGCGCAGCATTGTTCGTCGCCGCACACGGTGATCAACTTACTTGTCAGCAGCTCTGTATAGATCTTTGGGGGAAACGTCCAGCCTATCCTCCAGCAATCGAAGCGAAAGAATGGTATCCGAGGAATGCGAAGCGGCTCCAGAATTAGAGAATATCACGACTCCGTACTTCAACCCAGGCAGCCAGCCACATGACTTGCGCGCCGCCAGACGCCGTGGTTCCCCCATGCTTGTCGGCTACAGTGCCGTGCAAGATTGTCTTCTCCCAGGCCAGGCCGTACAAGTTGACGTTTGGTCAGGGTCCTTGATATCACGGTGGACGGCGCTCGAGAATGGCTCCGCTTCACGCAGCGGGCATTTCAGCCATTTCGTATACTCCGTGGTCAGTGACGGATTACACAGCAGCACCGGTCCCGGAGAACAGGCCCAGGGGCCCGTGTGACACGGGAACAAGCTCTTGCTTCCTGGGATGCTAGTACTAGTACCCCGTGGACAAGCGGTCTGGGGTCTCGCGGGCCTCGAATGATGTACTGTTCATCCTCAGCGGCGCCCAGGTGTGTTGCCGCAACACATGCTCCAGCTCGTTTGCCGTCAGAACCTCAACAAGGTGCGAGAGGACGCCAAACATACGACTAGAATTCTGCGGCTTGACTCGTGGCTCCTCGCTGGGACAGCGCGGCAGTAGTGAATGCTTTGGTTGTCGAGCCCGTGGACCAGGGCGTATCTGAAGTAGCCTTTGTGTTTGGCAGCCTCGCAAAGCCGAATCCCTGCAAAACATTCAACGTCCGTTTCGACTACATTCCCGGCCTTTGGGACGGTGCCGGTGCCGGTGGCATGACGCGAGCATCGGCCAACGTCGAGCAAAGGATCAATCATCAACTTGGCGAGAGAATTGCGGGACTGGTGTCGTGACTGCGTCGTTATTTTGTCTTGTGAGGCAACGAGTAGAAGATTTGCCTCGGGCATCTCCACGCCGGTCAAGGCAGACTAGGAAGAAATTACATGCAGGTTTATTCTACAGAAAAGTCCACGCATAGGATGAAAATATCCAGTGCCCTCACCGCTCTCACCTACCCGCAACAGGTCTTTACGGACAGGGTTTGCGGCCCTGTGCCTCATCAAGCATTGCTTGTAGTGTAACCAAGTGCAATGCATACCGGAAATAGCCCAAAACAATTCCTGTAACCAAAAAGCAAAACCCACAGCCGCACCTGGGTAGTATTACATGGCGGACCACAGCGGAGTGAGTGAAACCTCGTCATGCATGTCTCACGCGCTGCTGACAAAACTTCAATGGCAACGAACCGTCAACTCTGCGCGGGAGCATCGCGTCGCCAACTTGCCGCGGGAAACAATTAAAAGCCCATCTCCGCCCGAGCCACCGAGTAGTAGTAGTAGTAGCTTGTATCAAGGAGGCATCAAGTACACCTGGCTGAACACTAGCACCAGGCCAATGGCCGCAAAATTCGTTCAACCGCCTCTTCCTGCTTTGACAAGTTGTGATGCGACAAGCCGCGCCGGAGCTCCTCGTGATCGTCTGATCCATCCTTCCATCGCTTGGCGTAGAAGCTCTGGCCCTTCCTTGAGCCACGTCCGAATCTTGTCGCCACCAATTCCGAGGCTACACAAAATTTGCGCCCTGTGAAGAGGCGGGCGAAGTTCGGGCTTCCTCCAAGGCACCAAAGATGCTGTAGACGCGTTGAGACACGGACGTCATGCTGACCTGTGACCGTAGCGGCGGCGACCTCGGACGCGCACGAACTGGTTTCTTTTGGTAAAATTGCAAACATGAAGGGCACTGGGTGACGCCACGAGTGGGCATGATTGGTCTTATTCTTGTCCAAAGCTCTCCCATGCTCTGCAAGTCATCTACTCCGTACATGTCAGTACTTTGTGTGGTTGCCGTTGCTCCATGAAGCTCATGCGCCTCATGGTTTCGTCATGGCTCAGCAATTCGAGGGCCTTCTTATCCAAGCTACTCCGTATGTGAGAATGGGAGAATGGGAGATTGGTTCCACCAGGATGAGCAGGCATGGCCGCCACCGTAGTCCCGACTGGAAGCCTTTGCACCGCGCAACAATGTTTACAGAATACTATGGCTGACCTTGTTTCTTGGGGTCCAGCTTGAAGCCGATGGGGAGAGCAGCACAATATCAAGGGCTGGGGCTCAATAGAAACGAGGGAGCAAGGATGCGACGGCAAGCCCATGTGTTGGTGCCCTGGGAGGCATCAAGCAACGCCACGCAAAAAAGGGGATGGCACCGTTGACGCCTCCTTGTTGCGCCCCTCAGCGCCCCCACGGGTAATGCTTGTTTTTGCTCTTCATGATGCGAGTGCAGCTGCTTATGCTCCGTCATTCATGGCGAGTATTGTCTCTGTCTCCGCGGACGGTGGAAGCTGGCAACTACATCATCATGACTCCGAAGAGGGCCATGACAATGGCCTCATTCTCTGCCCACGCTGCTCCGTCGTCGGGCCTGAACCATGTAATTGCAGCTTACTCCAACACACGATACGCGCCGCATCTCAGCTCGACTGTCTGGGGGTTGCTTCACCTTGCTACGGCAGCCGCAGCGTGCTAGGGAGCAGCTTTCGAGCCTGGCAATAGCCTGACATGGCTTTAATTCCGTACAGTAGTCAATCAGCCATCGAGTTGGGTTTTCCTCTTCTCTTCCCCACTCACGGCGTGCTTACTGACGCTAGTGCCGACAATGCCGTTCATCAAGAGACTTGGCAACTTTGAAGGGTTGTGGAGTAGACAACAACGTGCCAGCCTGTGTCCGGGGATTTCAACCACATCTCTTGGCATCTCTCTGCTCCGGCTGCTCGCGACTATGCAAAGCACTACTACGTATAACTGCTCCTGTTTACCACCGTGACCGCGAAGAGAATGGCGCAGCTGGCTACCGGGCCATCCCATGGTCAGTCAGCTCTTCCTTGCTTTTGCCCATTTCCCCCTCCCTCCAACACCAAACCCCGAAAAGCCACAGCAACTGGTCGAAATGCTGCTGCCTAATGTTCTGTGTGTGCATGTTGGTGCGAGTTCGTCTTTGTTTTACGACGCCTGGGGTGACACAAGAGGCACCAGTTCAACGGCAGCCACCGACGCGGCACACGGGCAGCTTCAAGCAAAATTTACTCCGTAGTTGCCCACAGCACCTACGAGTTGCGACCAGTTGGGCATCACGCCTCGAATCTCACCCGTGCTGGTCATGTGGCCGGGATGCTTGCCATGGCACCACTTGCGGCCCCTGCTGCAGGCTGACGGACTAGCAAAACCCGTGGGGGTGTGGCCTGCGATGCCGTTTTATAGGTCCAACTGCCGTTGTATCACAGGAGGGCTTGGCTCAATCTGGATGGGGAACTGGTGCAACAATAAAAGTTGGGTTGTTGCTGGAAAATCTCGCGCCCTCTCCGCACCCCCCCCATGCAGCCACCTGCGTGATGTGGCGTCGCGTTTAATAAAGAACCGTCATGTACCGAGTAAGACGCGGAAATATAACATCGAGTCCAGTTGCTTTACCTTGCTCCCGGTCTTCTTTCCATGACTGCTGAATCAGATAGCATCGCCAACCCGACCGCCCTCCTCAACTCACCACGCTGTTGGCACAAGACGAGCAGTTCGCCATGGCTTCTGATGCCCCGGAAAAGGCCGTAGTGGCCGATGAGTACGTACTGACCATGTTGTCCGGCTTTGCTGTCCGTGGATTTTGTTCTTGTTGACACGCAGGCCAGGAGTGCCGGTCACGCCGTTGGCAAGGAGGCCTCGCACCGAAGGCGAGTGAGCCTGGTTGCAAACGTCGAGGGCGAAATCGAGAACCCCCTCAGGGACATTTCTCGCGCCGAGCTTCTCGAAAAGGTCAACCGGTTCCACAAGGACAAAGAGCTGCCGGAGGATATCCTCCCGCTCCTGAGGAAGGGCGCGCTCGTCGCGCAGAACCCTGCCGACTTTGAGGCCATTGAAGACCTGGACGAGTCTGACAAGATTGCTCTCCGCGAGGAGACTACCCACAGATGGAAGCAGCCTTGGCCCTTGTACTACACCATCATCCTCAACTCGATTGCGGCCGCCATCCAGGGATGGGATCAGGTAAGAGTGACCGCTTGGCGCAGCCGTGCCGCCCGCCGTGCTCCCATGGCAAAAGACCGAAACTAATGTGCATGACTGGCAGACTGGTTCCAACGGAGCCAATTTGAGCTTTCCGCAGGCCTTGGGAATTCCTGACAGCGCAGGTTCCTCGTGCGGTCCGGTAGCCAACGAAGGGGAATGCGCCAAGAATAGCTGGATCGTTGGCTTCGTAAACGCCATGCCATACATTACAATTTGTCTCTTGTAAGTCATTGAGCCACGTGATGAATCGTGCACCGTCAACCTAATGCGTCGGCAAAAACATTATAGTGCCGGTTGGATCTCCGACCCCTTGAACGACTTGCTCGGCCGCCGTGGCGTCATCTTCATCGCCGCCATCTTCTCCTTGCTCGCGCCTTTTGGCATGGGGCTATCGCAGACTTGGGGAGAGCTCGCAGTCTGCAGGTAAGCTCTCGCAGGACTCAGACACACCTGTTCCTCTCTCTAACTCTGCACGACAGAATGCTGCTCGGCATCGGCATGGGTCTGAAGGAGGTGACGGTGCCCGTGTTTTCCGCCGAGAACTCGCCCGCCATCATCCGCGGCGGTCTCGTCATGTCATGGCAGATGTGGACGGCCTTTGGTACGTTTTTCAGGCTCTCCTTTTTTTGTGACGGGAGCACGACACTGACAGCCCGCCCCCTTGTCAGGAATCTTCCTCGGTACGTGCGCCAACTTGGCGGTTGGCAAAACCGGCGACATCGCCTGGCGCCTGCAGTTTGCGTCGGCCTTTATCCCGGCCGTTCCCCTCGTCATTGGCGTCTTCTTCTGCCCCGAGAGTCCCCGGTGGTGTCTCAAGAAGAAGCGGTATGACCAGGCGTGGAAGTCGCTCCTCAGGCTCCGAAACACGCCCATGCAAGCCGCCAGAGACTTGTTCTACATCAACTGCTTGCTGGAGCAGGAGGTTGAACTCGTCAAGGAGTCTGGTCTCAAGGTGACGAGCAACGTCTTTACCCGATTCGTCGAGCTCTTCACCATCCCCCGCGTCCGGCGCGCCACGTGGGCGTCTGGCATCGTCATGATTGCGCAGCAAATGTGCGGAAGTACGTGGGCCGCACTCTATCCCCCTTTGATATAAATCCGCAGCAAAAGCTAACCCGGGCGTCGTTTCGCTGCAGTAAACATCATTGCCTTTTACAGCAGCACCATTTTCAAGCAAAGCGGCATCGATGACTACACTGCTCTCTGGGCGAGCTTCGGCTTCGGCCTGATCAACTTCCTCTTTGCCTGGCCGGCCGTGTGGACAATCGACACGTTTGGCCGCCGTGCGCTGTTGCTCTTTACGTTTCCCAACATGTTTTGGACCCTTCTCGGTATGTACTGACACGGGCGCGCGCACCCCGAACCCTCATGCTGACCGTGGAATGCTTTGCGTAGTCGCCGGTCTCTGTTACCTGATCGACCAGGGCGTTGAAAACAGCACGGCACGAATCGCCTCCGTCGCCACTTTTGTCTATCTGTTTGCCGCGTTTTATTCCCCCGGTACGTGTGCCCACTAGAGAGAGAGCCCCTGGGCCTAGAAATGAAAGACGGCTGACAAGAGTCTTTAGGCGAGGGTCCTGTGCCCTTCATGTACTCGGCAGAAGTGTTTCCCCTGTCCCATCGCGAGGTCGGCATGTCGTGGGCCGTGGCGACAAACAACTTTTGGGCTTCGGTGCTTTCGCTCACCTTCCCGCGCATGCTGAGTGCCATGACGCCCACGGGCGCATTTGGGTTTTACGCGGGCCTGAACCTCGTGGCTCTTGTCTTCATCTTCCTGTTCGTTCCCGAGACGAAGCAAAAGACTCTGGAGGAGCTCGATTACGTCTTTGCCGTGCCTGACCGCACGCACGCCAAGTATCAGCTCGGGACCGTGCTTCCTTGGTGGTTTAGGAGGTGGTTCCTCTGGCGCCGAAACGAGACATGCCCGCCCCTGTACCACGAGGCCAAGCAGCAGACTACGGAAAAGGCCTGAGCTTCAATGTTGGCAGCATCACTCGCTCCAGAGGGCGCGTGTGGCCCATCTTAGGGGGGGGGCCTTGTGCCGCGGTGAAGAAGAGGGAGAACCGGGCCGCCAGAGTGGGATTCGTGTGCTTTGTATCCATTCGCTGCGTTGCCGACATGGCGGGTTTTTGAAGATATCCCAGTGTCTTTGGGCTCTTTGTATTTTTGTCGACTCTCCCTGTTAGCCACTCGCTCTAGGTCGTTGGTGTAGTTTGAAACGTGTGAATTGAAATGTTTCTGCTCATTCTGTGGAGGGGGTCACGTGATGACGTCAACGCTAACAGCCTCGCTTATTCTTCCGGCCTTTTTAAAATCCAGCACGCAATAAACAACTTGCGCATTTTACCATTCGTTCTCAAGAAAGAGCATATAGGGGAAATCGGAGACGTTTACTATCGACAGGGTGCCACGTCGCTGCGCTTTACAAAAGTTCAGTGTCCCGCGCACGCGAGGTTGGTCTGCAGCTCAGGTTGGCAGGTCGATGGGGAGCCGCAGATAAGAATCTCACTGCCCCGAGCGACTAGTTATGTAATCGAATGCAGGCTAGGGAACTATTGAGGCTGTAATACGGATGGACCTTGGCAAGGCGTAGTTTCTTTGCAGCCTTCCTCGTTGAGAATAGTCCAAGAGCACATGCACGACCACCAGACGCACCACAGGGGAGACGCCCCCAGGTGCCACAATGATGCCGAAGCTCCGAATCTCTTGGCCAGAAAAGGATGCCGTATTCGGTAATGCCTCGCTGGCGCCGACGACAGCTTTGGGAACTGGTGACTTGGCGAACCAGAGGCATAACGCTGCTCAACACCAACACACTGTCCTGTCAAGCCATCTGCCGGCATCTCCGGGCCGAAAGACAACTTGTCCGTCAAAAACAGTGGCCTTGTTTCCTCGGCCCGGAGACGACCGACGACCGACCACCTCGAGGTCCTATTCTTCGGCACTGCCGTCCTTTCGGGGACAGCTACGGTTGAGCGTCGACCCCGGGCCAAGTGTATTCGAGCAAACTGGGGTTGCGCTCGGCACCTGCCGGATGTGGATGATGCCATGGAGCACAACATCTTTGAACAGAGGCGTAGGGCAGAACCGAGGGCTCAAGTCGGCAGACGACGTTGCTGGCCTTGCCGCAGGCGCCACCCCTGATGTCACGGTAGGTCCCGTCACTCAATCGAAGCCGTTCCGCAAATGATAAGGATAAACGCTCGGGCAGGGCTAAAAGAAGAAGGTGACGATGAAGGTCAATTCGGCTAGGCATGGCCATCGCGAAATCGCAAGTGTATTTAAGACTGCTCGTGAGTATGGCTTTTTCTTTTTTGCCCCAGGGGTTTGGCCGTCCAAGAAACACCAGGCTCTTTCATGATAATGACAATGCCTTTGTTAGTCGCAGTTTTGGCCGGGCTGTTGAGCGGTGCCAGTGCCGCCGCCAACCTCGTCCAACACGAGCATGTCCCCCAGCTGCCGCAAGGATGGGCCCGGATGGACGCCTCGCTCGACCCGGACCAGCCCTTCAGACTGTCCATTGCCCTAAGACAGCCCGAGATTCACCGCCTGGCCTCCAAGTTTGCCCCCGGCTCCGGCCACCTCTCCCTGGACGAGGTCCGTACGCTGCGGGCGCCCGACCCGAAAGACGCCGCCGCCGTCGTCGACTGGCTCCGTGAAAACGGCATCCACGACACCGTGACAAAGGACGACTGGATCCACGTCAACACGACCGTCAGCACCGC